AAAATTTATAAATATGGGTTAAAGATAATTTACATTTAAAGTTATATATTGATAATATACTGATAATGCTATATAGTGATGATAAAAGGGACACAATTATATCAAATTTTATCTCTACAGTTGTCTCCCTTGATTATTCAAATCTTAATATAAAACATCTCGGATATACAACAGGGACTGATAAATGATTTTTTTTATGATCAGCAATCAACATTTTTGGATAGCATAGGAGCTAATATTAGCTATTAAGGTTATCTTCTTAGTAAAATACAAAGATAGAAATATTATGTAGTTAATTTGTGATAATTTGTTCAATTAAAACTTGAGATACATTGTATGTATATGTAATACAACTGTAACATAGTAGCACCAATATTGCATAAACTAACACCATTATAACAATCTGGTGTAGAGGCTTAAATATAGTAATGCTGCATTTTCCCTGCTGCAACCCTTAGTTTACTTTCCCATTTTGTCAAAGCTGTACAGCAGAGCTGTATGTAGTTATGTTGATTACAAGGTGTTTTGTAACATGTGATCATTGTATAAAAAATAAAGTAAATGAACTTTACAATGTTGGGTTTGTTTATTCTTGGAGAGATAAATATCTTCGTTTTTGAAGTTTGCTAATACCCAATGGGACAAATGTGCAGATCTACTTATTTCTTACATGCAAAGCTGATTTTTATCAGATTAGCTAGTACCAAATGTATGGTTTACAGAAGTTTAGAATATCTTGAAATGTCAGTATGTGACAACTTTTCTGGATATACCTATAGCTAATTATTCATAGTATAATATCTATATAATATCTAAATTTTTCATGTTTTACTTGCAATAAATTGGTTGATAGAAAAATTTTAACTCTTCAATACTATGTGTGGGTGTTTTCAACTTTAATACTCTGTGTGAGATCTTAATGAAACTTGTTAAATATACATAGTAGTATGGCATCTTGGGTTACTAAATGTCAGTCGCCATATTGAAAGATCTAGACTCTGCTTGGCCGAAGAAAATTGTGGCATAAAGATTACACTTTTGGCAACTTTCATAAGGTTTCTTGCATTCATTTTTCACAGTTATCTCTCTTTTATCACAGACTTACTTAAAGTCCATGCTTTGATAACTTATGTGCGGTTTGAAATTGTTGTAACTATCAGTTCATAAAAATTGAATAGTTTTCAACAAAGAACTTAATCAAAGAAATGTATGAAAATTAAAACACTGTCGAGTAAGAAAAGAAAGAAAAAATATTTGCGCTAAGAATGAAAAAGAGGCTCAACGTTTCAATACGTTTGGCTGAAATCTTACTTTCATGTCATCATCAGATTGGCATATTGGCCTTAACGTGTCTGTATGTTTGGTTTGAATTATGAAAAGGAGATCCGATTAGGAATTTTTTTGCATAAAAGCTTGTTTATTTCAGCGCGTGTGGTGTCATTCCATTCTTCCTGCAGTCAGTGAGTGCTTCTCAACCGAAGATGATGTTGTTTGGACCCCGAGGCAAACTTCGTTCAATATTATTCCATAGGTGTTTAATTGGGTTCCAATCCGGTCTTTTTTACATAATGTTTGTAGCAGAGGGAAAACCCGAGGACCTAGAATAACTTCCCGATTGTTTCGGCATTTTTATATTTCCCACAATAACGACGAGTGGGGCACAATACCTGAAGGCAATACCATCTCACACCATAACTTGTCTGTGTCCAAAAACCGATCCCATTAGAAATTTTATTTAAAACCACGCAGTCGTCCCAAATATATAAACTTACACCCGCTTTTTACTTTCCCAAATGAGCAATTCTAGCGATAATATTTCCCAAAATCAAGTGGCTATAGCCTTTTCCCATTAAGCGAGTATAAAATCTGGCTCATTTATACACGCATTTTTTCTGAGATTGTACCTGAATTCGAAAATATACGATGGTGACGTTACATTTATTTTAATTAACTTAAAATGGATAACTACTTTTTGAAATATGTCACAAGGTGAGTGTACAGCCTAACAGGGACTCGACCCCGAGGCCCTCGGAATACCGTTCCGCGCCTTTATGGCTACGAACTGATCTTTCCGACCGCTCCCTCATGTTCGCCCCTAAATAATAAACAGTTCTAAACTGTGCCTAAAATAATGCATGAAAAGGCACCTAGCTAAGTTATCCCTTTTTCCAAAAAATCAAAATAAATAAATAAATATAAAAATTAAATAAATAAAATAAAAAAAGAAAGCCTCCCTAAATATGACTGTCATGGCGTCTATGTGAATTGAAACCCCGAGTAAACGAAAGCCTTAGATTGCCTCCATGGTCGAGGGGTTAGAGTCGATGACTTCTATTTCAGTTACCTCTCTGGTGTGGGTTCGATCCCCGGGTGATGCTTTGGTTTTTTGTTTTGTTTTGGGTTTTACGTCACATCGACACAGTATAGGTCATATCGCGACGTTCCAGCTTTACTGGTGGAGGAAGACCTCAGGTGCCCTTCCGTGCATTATTTCAGGCACGAACGGACACCTGAGTAGAACCACCGACGTTCCGTAAGCTAGCTGGATAGCTTCCTCACATGAAATAATCCAAAGTCCCTGTCGGGATTCGAACCCACAGCGGTGAGGGGCAAGTGGTTTGAGATGCTTTGGTAGTTAAGCGCGGAGGAAGGTAGTCTAGTACTGGTCCCAGGGAACGATGGCTAGGAACTGAAATACTGTTGGGAAAAAGGCGTAAAATGAAACAAACAAACAAACAAACAAAAAGCATCGCCCTTAGCAACTTTACTGCCAGCATGGTTTCTATTATCCCCTGGCTTTTTGTAACTTTATTTCCCTTATTTATTATATGTTTAAGCGGATAAAAGTATTAATAACTGCATGAACATCTATTTTAGTGTATTTTAAGATGTTTTAATGACATGGCATTGCATTAGATGAGATATGTAAGTAAACTTGGTATTGATTTTCTCAGAGACCGCTCTCATAAAATGTCTTCTCAAATTACGGGCAGTTACTTTCGTAAACATATAATTAACTTGGGCGAGTAGACAAATTTATGACCAAAAAATAAATCATATGTCATTTTTTACTTAAACGACTGCGTGTAAAAATATATATACATGTACATGATGTTCTATTGATTTTGAAAGTTGTCACCTTTGACTTTATCCGGAATTCTGTCGGCAATTGTCTCTGTTTTTGATGGAAATAATTAATAATCGAGAGCAAAAAACTTTTGACGCTTCTGACTACTTATATGTGTTAATGAAAATACATACTTCATTGTATTTCTGAAACATGACATAAAACATTTTGTTGTGAATATTTGTGGTCATATTTTCTTGTTCGTCTGCGATTTCTGTATACGCCAATCATTACATTATGTAAATAGGCCTAGCATGGGCAACGTTTTTCGATTGCTTGGTCAATGGTCAAAGCAATTTTAGCAAAAAATGACCTATATGTGCTTGTGTGCGTGCGTGTATATGGAGGATACACAATAAATTTACAGCATATATTATAAGATTGGAATAAAATCTATATTAGGGCATCCGGGATCAAGGGGCTAAAGTCGCTTGCCTCTTTCCGCTTCGGATTTAAAGCCCGCCAGGAACATTGAGTTCTTTCATATGAGAAATTTAGAAAATATAAGTAAATATGTTAACTTCTTCTAATGAACCAATATAATAAAGAAATATCATAATTTGATTTTCTCTGTACACTTATTATTAAAAAATAGATACAAGTTCTTTTCTATAACAATCTGAAAATGTCTGTGATTTGGATTTTAAGTACCAACGTATTACATGTATTTGCGCCGAATTTCTGAATCATTTTTTAAAGTGTGGCACTTTTGTCCTAAGTTAAACTACCTCCTTGTAGGTGCGCAGTCCGAATTGTTCAAAGAAATATCTTAATAAAAGTTAATATGTTTACGAGTGTTTTCCCAAAATTTACATTATGAACAATTTAACACACTTTTGTATTTTGAAATAACATACGTATTATCTATCAAAATATCTAGCCTCATGGCAAATTTCACAGAAAATACATTGGTACGACTTTTATTCTTTTTATTTTAAACCAAAATTTTTGCCAATTTTGACGATTTTTGTTGACAATATAATTATGATCTTGTTTTCAATGTACAATCAATTAAACACAGCTATCTAAACAGAATTCTTAGCTGAATGCTTCCACTCATAGGGGTACGGCACATACTTGGATGAAGCTATCCTTTTTTTCTTAATATCTTTTCTAAATATGAATAAATGTATAACCAGAATTCATACATATATCCACATTGAAAAAGATTTAAAAAAATGGCTTAATAGAAAAAAATTTATCCAAGTATGTGCCGTACCCCTTTGCTTCCACTGTCAGAATGTCGACCTTCATTTTTATGCACATTTAAAATAAGACGTACCGGTACATGCAAGTGAAAATATGGAACAATCAATCGGACATTCTTATAAACAAAATGTTTGCACACTGTTAGAATTTTCCACAGCACTGATTCAACATTCAATACTTTAACTTTATCAGGTCGGAACAATATCAAAATTGAAATGAAAGGATGCCGAGACAAAAATATATATTTGTATAAGTCACTTTGTCACTTCCATATTTCAAAATGTATGAACCCAATTTAAGGAATAATGTACATTTCTTGTGCAACGCTTTGTTGATTTAAATTATACACGTATTTAGTTAGATATAGCAGTTTTATGAGAAAAAATTGCTGCATTCTTTATTGCTGAATCCACAAACACTTTGGTGTGGAGCTCAAAATGCCTTTAAAATCCAAATAAAATGTATATTAAATTTTGTGAATCCCAGTACATGTTCTGATCATATAAATAAAAAAAACTTATTATAAGCCTTTTTGAAATCTGAATCATCAGATGATTAATTGATAAATTGAACGAATGAAAGATTGATTGATTGATTGATTGATTGATTAATAAAAATATCATAAACACAAGCAATTTTCACAGACTCATTTTATACAGTATCATCAGTTAAAACCAGAAGGCACCGTAAATGAAGTATTTGGCTCAACCAGCACTTGTTTCAGTCCAAGAACATGTCTCAAATAAAACTGAAACTTTTTCGCCGACGACGACGTCATATACAGAATAAAATTTATCGCAAAATTCAGCTGGTAGAAAAAGAAAAAGAAAGCTCGCGTCCATTTTAGTTTCATTTTTGTCGTCATGAAATGTACATAAGCGGTACTTCCGGTCGCAGTGGCCATACTTCCGTTCCAGATGAGTTCCGTTGTTTGGACAATTCCTAATGGCAGTACCAGAAGAACGTACCTGGTTGAGACAAGTAAGAGTAATTTCGTAGTTTTGTCGTCGGCTGCCGACATAATGGATTGTGTCAATATGTCCCGACGCCGGCGATTCAGTCTTAGTTCACGAATGATTACAAGGTTAACACACGTGATTAGCGCCGTCGGCAGCCATGTATTTACTGCAACGTACAAATACACAATTTCCTTAAAGATTTTCCTTCTTGTCTTGCATGCTTTGTAACCAAACACTGAGTCTCCCTCGAATCCGGACACAGCAATCTTGTGGAGTGAGACTGTAGCTCCAATCAGTGTCACAATGAGGGTGGTAATGTATGCGTTTCTCAAAGATGGCCGATACTTCAAAGGAAATTTAAAAAGAATGAACCGTTCTACAGTGAAAGCAACTAAAATCCACACAGATAGGATGTTGAAAAGTTCTACTACTACACCGTGAACAGTGCATAGCTCCTCGCTGTCTTGGAACACCTTGTTTACCTCCTCGCTTCCGGCACGCATTACACCAATCGTAAAATTAAACAAAAGAGTGCAGGTGTCATATACGGCGAGTACAGCTAAATAAACATTTTGCGCGTCCTTTCTCATCTGCCGCTGGATAAACACAACGAATGACAAGATATTTCCCACTACACCGAATATTACTATAAATGTTGTGCCATAGGAAAGTAAAAATCTCACTAATTTCACAAACGGAATAATATCTACCCAAAATAAAAGTAGTTCGCACGGCCATTCTTCTTTTTCCCGTTCTGTTAAATTTTTTCCAGAAAATTCTTCCAGAACGTCATAATTTATAGAACAATCGCTTAAATTCTTATCAGCCATACTATTCTCCTGCTACTATCAGAAAATTTGATTTCTGCCATGCGTAATAATACATCAGACTGTAGACGCGGAGTGAGCTCACTAGAACTAGTGTTCGAGAGAAAATTTCCATGTTTATATACAAAATGTGTATCTAATGTCGTTTAATTGGGAAGATAAAACGGAATCATGATTAATTTCTGACTGACTTCTTGTGCAGATTGGATCTAAGATGATCCTGGGTGATCAAAATAAATGTAAAAAAATCCAGCTCATATCTCCCTTCATTAGTTCAATTGTAAATTAGCAAATTGTCTCCCTACAGATCATTCAGTAATTAGAACAAGCTTTTAACGTGTTAATCTACTTCTACAAAAAGGGATGGTTTCTGTGATATATGTTGCCAAATGGTATTGTTGCAACGCCGATGAAAATGTTTCTCTTCATAACGTAGATGTTTGGAAACTTCAGTAAACGTCACTTTTCCCGGCAAACACTATATAACGTTTATAATACTGCAAGTTTTTAACGTTGCTTTTCATCAGACAATCGTGACGTTTATATAATTAGTTACAAAGATATTTGACAGATTATATGGCCCTATATTAACGGTTGTTTGGTAGGCAGATGAGAAAGGCGGGATATAAAAGCAATTTTTATCATATTATTTTCATTAAACATCTTATTTCCCTAACATTCCTATGCTTGGCTAAATAATTGGCGTGAATTCTTTATAAGCATATAACTATAGATATGTACAAGCAAAACATTTTCTGTTAAAATTAGCACAAATTGATAAGCACAAAATATTTATCTTTTTTTTTTAGCACGAATTGTTTAAACATTGCGTTAAAATTAGCACAAATGTTATATTAAAACAGAAGACAGCAAATTTTTTCAGCAGCAAATTTATATGTCCTACTCGTACATATTCAGCCGCACTTATATTAATATTTTATGTTTATACTTATTTGGCACCGCAAAATAGCGATATGGCACCTTTTATAGCAAAAACAGCAATAAAAGAGGGTCCTGAAAAACATGGACACTCCTCTTTAATATATTAAATATAACCCGAGTTTATAGTGCAAACAATTGTTATATATGGCCATATAACATGTCAGGAATATTAATAATGAATTTATAAGACTGCAAACTTCGTTTTTAGATAAAAAAAAAAGAGAGATAGCTTTGCAAATTGACAACATCGTGCCATTTTGGTTTCAAAATCATGTCATCGTGGTTTTTGCAAATTGACAACATCGTGTCATTTTGGTTTCAAAATCGTGTCATCGTGCATTCACCATCGTAACAACATGTCTGGCTGTTCAGGAGAATAAAAGTCAATATCATCCAATTGAAACGCAGAAGAAAACTAAGTTCTATTGATGCAATAAGAGAATATGTCGAAGATTTGCATTTACTTAGTAGAATTTTAAAGACGAAGTTGTTCTTAGTTATTGTTTTTTAATATTTATTTAAGAACCGAAATGGAAAACTCGTTTCGCTTTCTTGTAATATGAGGGTAATATTGAGAGTACAATAAATGCAGGAACATCTTTGATGTTTTATGTGATATATACAAGCGTATTACAAATACTGCAAACCGTATATCGTACTTTTATAGCTATTCGGTGTAACATGATTAAAAAAAGTATTGGCCGTATTTCATATGCGCCATGAACAATTATCAAGTAACAGTGAAATCACTTAATGTCAGAGCCATTTTATAGCCATGGAAAAATAAAGTAAGAGAGGTTAATCATTTGTATTTCTGTGTGCCAAATTTGATTTTAGTTGGGCGTGAATGGCGGTGTCTTCAGACCACTTTCACCATACCGCGCGCCGTGGGTTCGAATCACGCCACGGCAATTTTCAATTGCTCCATTACAAAATAAGACCTTTTTACAGCTATCATTTTGCCATAGCCATATTTTGTAAAAAGGGACATAAGCTTCTATGTTATATATCTAATTTGACAGTCATTAACATGTAGTTACTATAGCCATTTTGTTGCCATGGCAAAACAAAAGAGAGTGTGAAATTATTTTAAATGTTATAAACTAAATTTTATCATGAAAAGTTTGCCATAGCAATTTTTAGCCATGGCAAAATAAAAGGGACTGAAAAATTATCTAGAATGTAATCTATTAAATTTCTACAGTCCAAATGTTGCCGTAGAAATCTGTAGCCATGGTAAAATAGAAAAAAGTTTATGGAATAACCTTGATTGTTATATATCATAAATTTGCTTTAGAAATTTATAGCCATGGCAAAACAAAATGTCTATGGAATAACCTTGTTTGTTATATATCATAAATTTGCTTTAGAAATTTATAGCCATGGCAAAACAAAAAGTCTATGGAATAACCTTGTTTGTTATATATCATAAATTTGCTTTAGAAATTTATAGCCATGGCAAAATAAAAAGGTCTATGGAATAACCTTGTTTGTTATATATTTAATTTGACAATCATTAATTTGCTATAGCAATTTGTAGCCATGGCAAAATTTAAAGAGACTGTGAAGTTACCTAGTTTGTTAAATATTAAAATTGACACTCTAAATAAAAGTTACCGTGGCTATTTTGTATATATAGACATTGAAAAGTGATTAAGACACTATCTTGACTTTTAATATCTATTATATTACAAGAAATGTTTCATTTTAATCAAAATAGCATCTCGAAAGATTTTGATTTAATGTTGCCGTAACCATGGGCTACATATTATGAAGTACAGGAATTATCTTTATTATTATATATTTAACCACACTTGTAAGAAAATTCTCTATAATTCTCCCTCATAATTCTCCCTGGTATATAAAGTAAATATAAATAGAACACAATATAATGATACATGAATTGCAATTAACAACAGTTACGGTCACGATCTTATCATTTAAAATGAAATGATTTAAAGCGTTGCCATGACAATTCTGTATGATAATAAATTTTAAGATTTTTAACTACTTCGTTTGTTATTACATTCACCTCAGAACTTTTCGAATTATTTTTTGAATATTGGTTTTTATAGAATATTTAGACGACAGAAAATTAATAATAACTTCTACGTCATTATCATTACTCTACTGAATTTAGAATATACATGACAAGTTTCTAATAGATCAGAAAGGCGATTCGGAACACTTTGCCTTGTATTCATAATCATTCTATCTATAGGGCCGAAAAGTTGCGATTCCATATAAAAGCATGTACCAGTAAAATTGGGAGGGTGGGGAAGAATATTGATGTTTATGCTGTTTACTTTCTTATTTTATTTATTTATCTATTTTCACGAATAATTTCTTTATATATGACACGCATCATGAAACAAATATCATCTGAACGTATGCAAATAACTGCTTCATAAAAAACAACAACAACAGTGACAAAATCATCTAATTTACTATTTCTTAGGGCGCTTGAACAGTTGAAATGCCCTTTTACGTGCAACCGCACACATAAAATGGTCACGCGAAATAACGACAAATCATTCGTTCGTGTTAACAATTTTACAAAACTCATTTCACCTATCGCACGAATAACAAAAATGTACATTGCACGAATCAGACATATTGAATTTCCGATCACTGTATATATCTTAGTAGATTTTATACGTATTTCATCTTCATATACAGTTTTCAGTAAAAACATTTATAAATGCACTGTTAAGATGGTATTGAAAGACAAACAATCCTACTTTACTATAACTTAAATAATGTATCTTTATATCTACCTCTTTTTTTGTTTAATCAAAAGGCTGATTCCGTGACAGTATGTAATGATATAAGTTGATACATGTATAAAACACGTCAATATGAGTGCTTAACTTATATCTTAGATAAAATTTCATTGTCTTGTGTCAAATAAACAAATCGTATATAGCAAAAATGTTTAAATCAAACCCAAAATTTACTATTTCATCAAAAGAATGCTTACCAATGAGTTAACAGTGAAAATGTTCTCTATTATTACGCTTTGAAAATAGTAATTTGAGCCGTGTCACAACAAAACCAACATAGTGCGTTTGCGACCAGCATTGATCCAGACCAGCCGGCACATTCGCGCAGTCTGATCAGAATCCATGCTGTTCGCTATCAGTTTCTGTACTTGTTATAGGGTTTGTAAAGCGAACAGCGTGGATCCTGATCAGACTGCACGGATGCGCAGGCTGGTCTGGATCCATGCTGGTCGCAAACCCATTATGCTGGTTTTGTCGTGACGCGGCTCATTTTAGAGTCAATCATTCACGTTCAGTTTAAAAACACTCCGACAGTACGATTATTCCCGTTTTGTTGTCAGCTCACAGATGTGATGGGATATCAAACTCATGCATGATGATATCAAAAATCAAAATCTTTAATAGATGATTGTATCATAGTTTGGAGACCTTTCTGTTGAAAATGTGTCGAAGTTAAATCGTATACATACATATACATGCACAGTGCGTTAACTGGAGTGCGGGTATTAGTTACCCGCACTGCAGAGCATGCCCATTGATTGGCTTATTGTTGTTGGGGTTTACTTATTGTGGCGGCAGAGAAAGGGAAAGCGACAAAAATGTCATATTCAGATGCTCGATCATTGGTTCATTTTTGCCGGGGTTTGATATTGTGACAACAGGGAACGTGTTTTTATGTTTGACTATGATACAAAAGAGAAAGAACACCAAAACACTCGGCATTCTGATTTATACTCGGGAGGGGGGGGGGATGTGGCTACGTCCCCTCGTACAAATCAGATAACCTCGTGTTTCGGTGCTCTATCTATACCTTAAATTACCTGTACATTTCTCTTTTAGGTGATATTCGGATCAGATTTAACACATACCTTTAATGACTGTTTTATAATATACTGAAAAAATAAGTAGTCAAAGTTATATTGTTATTGTGCAGAGTGCGTTAACTGGAGTACAAGTATTAGTTACCCGCACTCCCGAGCATGCCGATTAATTGGTTCATTTTGTCTGGGGTTACATATTGTGACGACAGAGAAAGGGATAGCAATATAATTATCATATTCAGTTGCTTGTTCATATGCTACTTTTTTCT